CGATTTTCGAGTGTATTATATGTGTAGGTACATATATAATAATGTAATACGCGCGCCCATTATATTATGAGTGTTGGCCGGTGAATAATCCTACGGAAAGGTGTAACTTTAGCTAACCCCTTTTCAATTTTTGGCAGTATAATATAGCCATCGCATTGTCCGCCCGCCGTTGACAGGTCGCTAATCAAAATATTCCGCCCACCAGTGTTGGGACCAATAAAAGACGTATTTGTCCCGCAAACGGTATGTGTGTGCACACTGTATACCTACCTGGTATACTCACCTCGGTACACGCGTATATAATAATAATAATAATAAAATAAACGTTATTATGTGTTATACCGCAGCAGTGCTTTTATTTTTCAAAAAAAAAATAATAATAATAAAAACGGTGGGCGTCGCGTGCAACCGGCGATTCATTGTTGCCAACATTTTGTCAGTTCCCTGTCACATTTCTTTATTCTTCCTCGCCTTATATACATCTAACCCTTCACTTACGGCTCACACACACTCACGTAGCAGATGTTCCCTTGTTCAAATATCATTTCCGTTATTGTTGGCCAAAATATACGCGAAGTGTAAAGCTGTGTTAAATGTGATAAAGATCATAATCATAATCGATGTACCTACCAATACAAATAAATATATATATATATATATACCTAATAAATATGTACCCACTTCCTACCTTCAATAACTATACATATATATTTATATGTAAAGGTGCAACCACATGCGGTCGTTTACAAAACTCTCAACAATACACATCACTTAAGAGAACGCGTAATACCCCCGTCCACCACGATATGTTCTGTCAGTCTCATTAACCCATAACATGGCAAGTTCCACGTTATAAGAAGAATCCGTTTTACTCTGTTATGGTTGATATTTCAATGAAATGACCTATTGTCAAATTTACAGGTAAGAAGATCGTCTACAGCACGTAGAGAGGGATTTTGATATTTTAATTCTGAAGCAAGTTGAGCATTTTAAAATTGTTAATTTTGTACACATTAAAATGTTTATAACATGTGCCGAAATTAAAAAATCATAGAAAACCTTTAGACACGGTATCCAGACAATATTCTCAACTTTTAATTTCATAATAGGTCAATTTACTTTAATATTAAAAAAAAAAAATTAAAACGAATGGCAAAACCGATTCTTCTTAATGTAACATATTTTGCCTTGTTATGCGTTACCTAATAAGATGAGGCAACATATTCGGATATAACTTCCAGTTAACAACGTAATGATTGAATTTGTGACTACCCAATGTTTCTATATTATGTTAAATAAAACTGCTGAATACGTAACATCGGCAATTTGGCTAACAACTTCACGAAATCGGCAACGGCGTTATAGGTTAGTTTACTACGTGATATTATTCGTTAAATATCATTTTTACTATTGTCCTTGATTTGAATTTATGAAACAAATTACTGTGCAAATATAGTTGTTGTATAATTTAAGTTTATTGGTATTTTTGTGAGGTTCGGTCTACACTTGGCATTCCAAATCCATGTATTATTAAATGTAATAATATTCAGAGCCTACACAGTTTCATTCATACACTCGAAAAGTATACCTATATTATTATGGCAGATGCGTTATGAATACAAACAGCATCGCAAGTCATTAGTGAGTCATTACCACAGAATCTATTACCAAAATTTACTAAGCTTTTATGGAAGCTTTTCATCCTGGGTGATTAATCTCTATAAAGTGTACTATGGAAGAAAACGTTTATTTTTACTGAGGTTGGGCATTCGGGAGGGGGAATAGGTACTTTTGTTTGAAAGAGAAAATGTATAGTATACAAAAGTGCTCACTGCTCTAATCGATTAATATATCTATGTTCGTATCATATACTATTCATACTAGAAGCCCGTGAGGTCCAGACTCGTCGCCAGCCACAATATATTTTTAACACACATTATATTTGTTTTTAACTCATTGATAAATTAAACTTTTCAAATTAACTCACCAAAAGTCATATACATATATATAAGTATGAGATGCCTATTAGCCTATACACATACATGTCTGGTGTTAAAACTAATTTATGATTTCAATAATTGTATAACACAAAGTAAATTTACTTCATTCTAATCAATACGAAAATACTTAATATATGTATTCAATATTTATCTATACATTATGAAAAAAATATTTCATTTCATCATTAGGAGGTACCTATTGTTTAATCTAAAAAATCTTATAATTTGTTCAATAGATAGTTGAGAAAATATGTTGCAAGTCATTAAATCAAATATATGAAAATAATTATTTAAAATAAAAAAGTAAAAATAATAGTTATTATACATTGTAATATTGTTTTTTCTTTTAACGAAAACAATAATACCGATATCAATATTAAAAGATTCTTCAGTGTCTGCACACACATATATATATACCAATATAATACCTATGTATATATATGCTATAATTTAGATTGTTATCCATTTTAATAATTTCTAAATAAGCAAAATGAAAATTATGCCCACACTTTACTTCATAGTTTTTTCACTTATGAATGGATTTGAACGTATACTAATATTATGTGAAAAAATCGACTACAATACACAGTTGAATACTAAAACTCTTCCTACGTATTGCATATGCTATAATTTGAAAGCGTTTATTATGTTTGGTAAAAAAAAAAAAAATGAGTGAGAGACAGACAGACAATTAACGTCTCAGTAAATTCGATAAGGTCTGCGTTACAATGGGCACGTTGACAACATGTTTTCCCTACTTCACACCTACACCCCTGATTCATTGTGTCCCTAGAATCTACAATTCATAAGAATATGATTGTGTGGTACGATTTTCCAAAAAAGTATTAATAATAATGATAATTATTATTGTTTTAACACGTCCACGTTATTTTTCTCGTCGATGTTTATAACAAAACATAAATATATATTGAATACACGCTTGGGGTATTGTGGCTATAAATATATGCGTGAACGGTATACATATAGATGGTGAACTATTGCACACCGTGAGGTGGTGACAAGTGACAACAATTATTATTTTAATACTACCAGACGCGAATGAATAAATCAAAAATCGTAATGTTTGCCCAAAACACTCACGTGAGTACAGCGTGCAGTTAAGGTACCCCAATATTGTATCATATTGTACAATATACATATGCGATGACGAAACATGTGACATATTGTAACGAACGCGGGACATGTCGCTGCAACAGTCTCTTGGGACGACAACTACTGCTGTATATAAGAGGGCAAGCCGGAACCGTTTCTTGGTATACTGCAACGCCGCGGTATATGTAGTCAATCGACCACGGTGTAGTAGCGGTGGTGTCGAAATGTGTGCCAAAATGGGGTGATGGAGAGCGAGGGAGAGGGAGGGAGAGAGAGCAATCGAAGTGATGTAAAGGAGAGGAAATTTTGGAAATTCAATTACAAGTCCGTTGTCGTCCACCACTTATGTCGATGAGCCGAACACACATACAAACACATACACAGCTCGTACATGTGTATAATGTTTCGATACACGGTGAAATCCGATGGAGTGTTAAACGTCTGGTCCGTCGGGAATTGATACGAGTGCAGCACAAACGGCGGCGACGGTAGCACATATAATATTATATACGCGCGAGCAATGCATGTGGCGAGGGAAATAGATTGGCCGTGTGAATGCTGTGCCGAACACAACAGATGCGGTGTAAATGGGTGGTTTGTAAAAAGGTCTCGGCAGCTATCTCTCCCTCGCTCTCTCAAACCCCCCCCCACCCCCATTCACTCCTTCTTGATCTCTATCGCCGTGTCTGCTGTCTCTGGTGTCATCGATGTCATCGCAGGTCGATGATGAAATCCCATCCGGCTGCAAGTTCACAGGTATATATCGCCTAGCTATAGTGTAGGTACATACATTACCTAGTGCATATACGATACAATATACAAAAACATTATAATATAATATAATAGTGTAGGTACCTATGAAAATTGCCGCCGTATAGGTGATTGCAGAAACGCGAGAGTTTTCGTGTGGATATTAGCGCTCTTTAAAATATTATAAGTCGCCGCTTCTGGCTGAGATTGCGTAGTGTATTTAAAAACAATTGTAAATTCACGCTTCGACGAAAATATGATTATTAGCGATATTAATACTATACGTAATATTATGATAGTTTTAAAATATCATATTATAATATTATTATTAGGCTAAGAGACGAGGTGACTGGACGATTAAAGTATATTGATAACACGCTGCAGACAATTAATATTCAATACTTAAATAAGTTTGTAGTAATAAAAAAAAACATCACCTATGTTTGATGTAGGTAGAGATTTGTAATAAATTATAACGATCAAGAGTTTGTTTTTCGTTTGATATTCATTGAATAAACAGATACATAATATAAGTATATAAGTACCTAATTATAATTGTAATAAATACGTTCATAAATCATAATGTAAAGAACCTACAAGTTAAATAAAATATAAAATATGTGATCGTGATGAATTATGAATTTATGTATACATGTTTCTAATTTAAACATACCCCATATATTTTTAATTTTTTAAAATGTTACTGTGGAAATTTGATGTTTTTGTTTAAAATGTAATGATTAGTCCATATTATTGTGGGTTCCTATTTATTATGATATTCTCGAGGTAATATTGAAATTTTTTTTTTACTATGATAACTACAGAAATAAAATAATAAATTGTCAGTCATTATGACGATAAAATGAATTGGATCGTATGGGATGATATTTGTTAAAACAATTATTACACTTCTAATCAGATAATAATTAAGGAATATATATTTTAAAAAGCACTGTGTTTATTCCATATATTTCATTTTTGAAAATATTCTTAAAAATAAATTGAAAAATCAAAATTTTAACTTATACAAAATATAACTTTCAGTCCAAATCACATATAGTTATGTAATAATCAATTCTTTAAAACTTTTAAGATAGTATTAATATAGGTGATAATATTATTATAATAAAAAAATACCCGTCATTGTATAACCAATAGCTTCCGCGATCCACTCAGAATCTAGAATGAGAAAAAAAAATGCTTAAGAGGTTATTTATTTCAAAACTAGTTTAATTAGGTCCCTAAAAATTTTTTTTTTAATTTTAGATTGAACTCAATAACACTGTGATTACGTCTTTCAATATCAGACATAACTTATGTATGTAAAAAATTGTTTACAAACAAGAATATACAGAAAGAGTTCATTTATCATTTTTTCTATAGTCCATATAGTCTATATAGGTAAATTACATAATATTATAATAATCTATAGACAAGTAGTATTATATATGTGATACTTTTAACTCATTCACCACGACTAACCAGAAATACTACTAAAATAAGTCATTGAAAAAAGTTAATTTTGATTTAGTTGTTTTATTTAGTAGTGGTTTTGGTTGGTAGTTGTGGATTTTGTTTTAAAATATAATTTCTTCTTCATACCAAAGTGGTTAAGAAATACAACTTTGTGTCTACTGATTTATTAAAAAGAGAAATATTAATAACATTAATTAATATTCGTTTGTTTTTATACGAAATCATATGTTTATTGAACGTAATACGATATCCATAACAAAAAAAAATTAACGAATTTTTAATTTTTAGTTTGACAACTTATGAATATTAAGTATCAACATATTATTTATATAATTAAATGAAAAAAAGCTATAACAATAGTCACTTAAAATGTTAGTTAAGCTATTATATTTTAACAAAAACGATAACTTTTTAGCGTTTTTAAGTTAATTATTTGCCCTGCACATTTTCATATAAGTGTAAGTAGCAATAGGGTCATTGATTATAACGATAATGGCCGGGAGGGGGGATAATGCATACAACTGTTGTGGAAATAAACTACAGTTTACAATGATAATGATGATGATAACATAATAATAACAATTGTTATTGCCATATTGATTTCCTTGGGTGCGGGGAAAACTCGGTGGCGACGAGCGATCGACTAATAATATATATATATATATATAACGATGATAGCAGCGACCGACGAACCCCGTAAGTATATAAAAGGGTGTTTGGGTGTTAAATTGAAAAATATTTGTCCGCCAATAACCCATTACGGGTGGCTTATCGAAATGCCTCGTAATTTACTCTCGGGGACGACGCGCGCACGCCTGCAGCACCTCACCGCCTGGTCGTCGCACACCCGTCGCCGGAGGACGCCAAAGTAACCGTCGGCGGCGGTGGGTGCAGTGGCGGTAGTCATATGATTGCTAATAACAGACGAGTATTTTTTTGCCGGGACGTCCATTTGAAACGAGAGAATTTGGCTTACGCGCGGCCCGCGGGGGATTTGTCCGCACCGCAAGACGCACGACGACGCAGCGAGCGAGGAGTGCAATAAACGGAAATACTTTAAATAGCTTCTGCGATCCAACATGGCGACGATCACCTAATCCTCGCGTCGTCCTCGGGCTGCTGACAATCGCGCGAGCTTTCCTCGATCCAATCAACCGGAATTCCGGCGGCACCGCCACCACCACCACCACCACCACCACCACCCCCACCGCCATCCGTTTGGATTCTCCGATTAATTCGTCTCGCGGCCTGTAACCCGGTGATTTCTTTTCCGACCATGCTTCGTGGCTACGACGCATATAAATATATATATATATAAATGTGTGTGTGTAGGTGTGTGTGTGTGTGTGTGTGTGTGTGTGTGTGTGTGTGTGTGTGTGTGTGTGTGTAAATTATATAGGTATAGATTGCATGTGGCTGTATAATATATAAGGTTATGTCGTACGACACCGGTTTACGGTTATCGGGTTATTACCACGTGCCAGAATGATTGGCGCCGATGAGTTGGGTTCGTGTAATACGTGCGGTTGAGGTGCAGTTATAATGCTGCTGCAGTGTACCTATACGTGAAACTCTATGGGCTTATTAAAATATTTCACAAGGGACCGCATGGCGGATAGAAGGGGTTAATTTATACATTTGGTTGGTACAATACAATAATCGAGTTGGTAAAAAACTATGAGTCGTCCAAGGTCACTGCAGCGGTACGTATAGAAATGAAGGAAGCGGTTATATACATCATTTGTGTTTGTTAGTAGGTATCGTCTTAAAAGCTGATTACCAAAAAGAAGGAAGAAGATGAAGAAATATTTGATAACCTCTCATTATATAAACCTGGGAACATTAAGACTACTGTGGTAACGATATCTCACTGATCCCACTATTATCAAATTATGCGCATTATATGACACTTAATACGCTCATAAACAATATAACGACATTATTAACAATATCACTATCCATCGTTTTCTCGCTATAATAATCTAATGACCGAAACGACCGTACTTGCGTGTATCGCAGAGCTCACATACAACGGCATACTGCATCGGGTGTAACTAGAAATTAACAGCTAGTTACAGGGGCTAGAGTGCTAGAAAATCTAAGTTCAAAATAATCCGTGTGGTGCAAGTGCCATCATCTTAAGCATCATTAGAGTTTAGTAGCCACAGGCCAAGTCGAAAACAAATGTTGAAAATGAACCATAGAGGAAAACTCAAAAATAAAATAGGTATCTAGGTATGTTATATATTAGGTATATATATTTAATAACTATAGTATACACCTGGATCTAGATGCAAATTTTTATAAAATATCATTTTATATATAATATTATAATTGAATAATTCTCTTTTTATAATTATTGTTTATTATATACCCAGATCACTGAATCTGTTTCGTATCGTAGCCGGCATGAACACCCGATGTATGTTTTGAATCTCATTTTACATAAACTGTGCGAGGCGTACATCCACAACATTAAAATAATAAATTGAACCCATGACAGTTTTTCTATGCTGAGATTTGAATTTTAACTTGCCAGATGAGCTAAGACATAAAAACGAATTGTGGGGGAGGGGGTGCTCCTATACTCTCCTTGTCACGTCGGTGCATACCACGCGCACAACCATTATAGAGCACAATAATAATAATATTAATATTTTAGGTGTAATATTATAACCACTAGTCGTCGTCGTCGTCGTCGAGGGGGATGTTCGGACTGCGAGCCTATACTACCATACTAATAATATTTAAGTGACGCAAAAAAGTATAATATGTATACGATTTCGCATGCACCGGCCACGCTGCACTGCACCGCGGTTATCAATCGCGTACATCAGGTATAATAATACAATAGGTCTACAATGCATTATGCTGCACGTGATTACAATAAATTTACAACAATAAATAATTGCATATTATGTTATAGCCCCGCGGAGAAATCAATTACGCGATGACCACTCGGTACAAGCACACCGGGACACTGCAGCAGCTAATCGACCGTACACGACTGCACCTCATATAATATACAACTAACGTGTACAAATAAGTATTATACGACGTCATGTGCGCCACTTTATATTATATAATATGTATATAAATAACGCGATACGTGTAACGCAGGCCGGTTCCTTTGGGAATACTGCGAGGGTGGCGGGGTGGAGTGTAAAACTCGATACGCGAGACGACGCGACGCGGTCGGGCGGGGGTTGCGTCGGAGTCGGGATAACGCATGTGCGCGCGACTTTCCAGTCGGGCGATCGGGAGGGCAAAACACCGTGAAATCTCTAAATGGAGCTACTGTATACTACAACGGACCCCCCCCCCGGATACACATATACCTATGTACGATATAATATACGACGAGACTGCGAGCTCTCCGGTGGCGAGGCGCAATCGGCCGGATTGAGTTCATCAACTTAATGTAAGTCCCTCATCGCCTTTCCATATATATATATTTTATAAATTTGGCTCGCGTGTGCGTGTGCCGACCGACCAGACTAGAAGTACCTACCTATAATACCTATTTTTCGAAATAGTCTATTGAGAATACCACTGCGGCGGATGACCTCCGGGATCGAGTGCAACCGCCAACCATTCCAACGATACATTGGTTATGTACTTTTATGATGTAGAATACTATACGTTAGTGGGTAATACGTTTCTTCTTTTGTTACTTAGTTTCGCGCCAATACCGTTGCACTGGATTGTATCACAGCATAATTATTAGAGTGCCAATGTAATATAAAATAGGTGTGTATAATATAATAATATTGTAGTATACGATATCTGTAAAGTTTATAAAACCAAAATAAATGTTTGTTTGTTTATTTAATTTGGTTGCTTGTTCGTCGTCCACGGACTCAAAAACTACCGAATCGTTTTCAATGAAAATGATATCAATAAATTCTTTGACATTCGGTCAATATATAGCTTCGTTTTTATCCCGCAAACAGGTCGCTATAGAGTGGCTCGCAGGTGAAACTTGATTCGGTTCACAAAAATCGAATATTTTTTTGATCAAATATGGGTTGTCATTAGTTATACAGATAATAATACAGTTATTCTGATTGGATAAAATAATTGTTTGGTTATATTATATTTTTTCGTTGAAGCCAATAAAAATAATCAAAATAAATGTGAAATTGAGTTAAAAATTACTTTTTAGTTATTAGTTATTACTATCTGTATACCGCTGGTAGATTTCCCATATCGGTTTTATTTAACCCCGGATAATGCTGATTAATATAGTTAGTATTATTATACATGTATAGTTCATTAAGGAATATCAACGGTGTAGACTCTACAGAAATCACGAAATACTTTCCTGAATTGAATATTGAAAAGTATGATTGGATACGAAATCCATTTTCTACCATCAACACGTCAAGTTATGAATTTACGTTAGAAGAAGAGGAAGAATTCATAACGCTAACAACAGATCGAACTCTAAAAATAAAATTTTCCGAAATAACAGTAGAAGAATTTTGGATTTCAGTTCAAACCGAATTTAAAAAAATTTCTGAAAAAGCAATTTCAATATTATTACAATTTTCAACATCATACTTATGTGAGCTTGGATTTTCAACACTGACGAATATCAAAACAAAGAAACGAGAAAGGCTGACAAATATTGAAGAGGAAATGAGAGTAGCAATATCGTACATACGGCAAGATATTGAAAATATCTGTAAAAATCATCAGGC